TAAGTAAATTATTTAATATATTTTATAAAATAATTTTAATAAAAATCTATTCGTGAATAATTATTTATATATTTTATATAATTTATTTTAATCAAAAAATTATATAATTATATTATCTGTATCATTAAGTGATGCAATTTTCTGCCACTTTGAAATATGTCCTTTTTTAGTTTCCTTTTTTTTCCTTTCACTTCAATCCATTTATTTACAACTGACTCAATTATAACATTAAAGATTTTGTCTTTTCAAAATTAAGTCACTTTGGGATTTGAAAAGGAAACTTAGAAAAAAGAAAAGGAGGAAAAAAAAACTTAATTAAGAGAACAATCATCCATAAGATTTTTAATACTTTTCTATTTTACTCATACAAATAACGTTTGAGAATATTCTTGGGAATATTTTTCCATTTCAGATATATTTTTTAAAATTTTTTATTCGAATATATCAAAAGTAACAATAACTATTTTTAGTTAGTTTTTAATTCTTTCATACTAGAAAAATTTATTTATCCATTTTGAGTTATTGTAGATCAGGTGCATTGAGGAGTGGTTTATGATATAGAAGATTACTTTTGACTTTTTTTTCTTTTTTTTAAACTTATTTTCTATAAAAATTCTCAAATAAAATATTCTATTAAGGAATGAGAACAAAAACAAAAAGCAAAAAAGTAGGAAAAAATGCAATTGTTTCTTCAACGAAGTTTTGACAGATGCGGTGAATCATAACTAAACATCTAGAAAGTCTTTTTTAACTCTAAAATGTTGAAGTGTACCTTAAGGAATAAGATCCAAATAGATTAAACTTTATTTCTTGACGTTCTATTTTGATTAATCTTCGTTTCTTTTTCTTTTTATATAAAAATATATTTTAAAATTTGTATACGCCCTATTATTAGGCTATATACATAAAAAACTGTTGCGTTAAGAGTTACGTTCTCGTGAATATAACTCGTAATGTAACAACTTTACATGTTAGCTTGAATTTAAAAAGTGATATTCTTTATATTTTTTTAAAAAAATTTGTCTTTAAATCTCTACGTGACTCGATTATAAAGAACATTGTTACATTAGGGTCAATCGTTACATTAGGATGAAAAGTTACATTAGGGTCAGCTGCGGACATTACGGCGAATTGTTACTTTATACTTTAAAGATCGACCGCAAAATTGTTAAGGAAATTCACAATAAAGCTAAATTTGTTCAAAAATCAAATTATTCATCCGCAATAACTAAGAGTTTCGTAGTGTCTTTACTAATGGAAAAGCGTAACATCATCTTAAATGAGTAGAAGACAAAGAATGAAATATAAAACTTTCCACGTTATTAATTTTTATACGAGACAGAAATCGTAAAAATCAACTATAAAATTGGAAATGTCTTAAGTAATTGCATCACCTCCTGTAAAAGTGATGACTAGCGAAAGATAACAGAAACGCCTTCTATATTCCCGCGAGATACGCCAAAACCAACATAATTACATCGATTAGTGATGTGAAGCTCTCTATCCTACCTCTAATCGTTACTTTTACCTGCGGGCAATTAAGTGCACTTCAGGTATGTAAGCTCAACCACCTTTCGGGAAGGAAACAATGTACTTGATATTATTACAGCTAGATCTTTTAAGTAGCTGAGTCAGGAGATCAAAAATGCCCCATTGAGTTTTGCTATTTCAAGTTTTGCTGATTTTAAGCTTCTTAAACAAAGAATATCGTCCATTATACCTTTATAAGAGAAAAATCGATATTTTGTTATAGCTATAAACGTTATTATGCATTATTTTAAGAAATAATACAAAAAATTCTTTGTATTATTTTTTTTATAAAAATAAAAGAATATTTTATTGTATTTTATTTTAGTAAAAGAATAATATAACAAGATACTTCTCTTGAGAGAAACCCGATTTATTACGAGTAATATTTGTCACTTTGTAAGAAGGATATTAAATATATATATATATTTTTAAAAATCTGTTATGGAAATCAATTTTTGTATTTTCTGGCCATAGACTTAAAGAAACTAGAGGATGAAATAATTATATGGTAGAAGCAGAAATTATGAAGTTATGCACACTGAGAGGGCTATTGAATTTCAGATCAATAGTAACAACAAAAAGCTCTGTTCTTGTAATAATGTTGTCTCTCTATATCAAAACCAACCCTTTCAACAATATCCCAGTGGGTAACTTCATTTGTTACGGAGCGAGAATCTCTTATCAGCCTGAGGTTAGATCACATTCTATCCACGAACTTCGCCCTAAAAATAAATTATCAATCAGTAGAACATGACGAAAACCATTCGCTGAAAACTGTCATGAAACGTTTTCCCATCGTATATCGCTTGATTCAATTAAGGGTGTTAATACACTAAAGTATTCTTATCTTAAAACGTTTCTGGTTAACCTAATTGTTTCCCACGTGCTATTATATAGATCACGATTAAAAAACGAAAAAGAAATATTATAAATTCGAAAAAATATAACATTATCATTAATATTAAACACACTTTATATATTTATAATCTCTTAGTCAATTCTTCATAAAAAAAACGAGACCGATTTTCTTTCATAACCGAGCAAATCTTTAAATTGTGAAAGAAAATGCATTGAGTTAATGTTTAATGAATGCTTTATTCACTCATAAAAATTCACATATGAAAAAAAAGACGGGAAAAATTTTTACATTTGATATGTAAGAATGTTTTTAAATTCTAGCTTTTGACTTCTAAGAAATGCCTTTAATATCAATAATTACAGAGCATATCAGAATAAATTTTTAAATTTATTTACGTTTATAAATCTGTTGATAAAGAAAATCTGTATGTATATACTATAATAAATCGATTGTAAATATACTTTCTCGTCAATTATTGTAAAATATTCGATTTCAAACGTCTTTGTAATCGATTATTATAAAGTATTCGATTTTAAACATTATAATCGATTGTTGTAAAATCGATTTCAAACACCTTTTGTAATCGATTATGATAAACTACTCGATTTTAAAGTATATTCTGTAATCGATTCTTTTGTCTTACCGATAAAATAATCGATTAGAAAGTAAATTTAACATTCGTTATTTAATCAGTAATAATTTTTCTATTTATGACGAAAACATAACAATTAAAAATATTCATATATACTGTAAATTATAATGATATACACTATTNTTCAATTAAGGGTGTTAATACACTAAAGTATTCTTATCTTAAAACGTTTCTGGTTAACCTAATTGTTTCCCACGTGCTATTATATAGATCACGATTAAAAAACGAAAAAGAAATATTATAAATTCGAAAAAATATAACATTATCATTAATATTAAACACACTTTATATATTTATAATCTCTTAGTCAATTCTTCATAAAAAAAACGAGACCGATTTTCTTTCATAACCGAGCAAATCTTTAAATTGTGAAAGAAAATGCATTGAGTTAATGTTTAATGAATGCTTTATTCACTCATAAAAATTCACATATGAAAAAAAAGACGGGAAAAATTTTTACATTTGATATGTAAGAATGTTTTTAAATTCTAGCTTTTGACTTCTAAGAAATGCCTTTAATATCAATAATTACAGAGCATATCAGAATAAATTTTTAAATTTATTTACGTTTATAAATCTGTTGATAAAGAAAATCTGTATGTATATACTATAATAAATCGATTGTAAATATACTTTCTCGTCAATTATTGTAAAATATTCGATTTCAAACGTCTTTGTAATCGATTATTATAAAGTATTCGATTTTAAACATTATAATCGATTGTTGTAAAATCGATTTCAAACACCTTTTGTAATCGATTATGATAAACTACTCGATTTTAAAGTATATTCTGTAATCGATTCTTTTGTCTTACCGATAAAATAATCGATTAGAAAGTAAATTTAACATTCGTTATTTAATCAGTAATAATTTTTCTATTTATGACGAAAACATAACAATTAAAAATATTCATATATACTGTAAATTATAATGATATACACTATTCTAACTTGCGCATTTTTCATATACTAATAAATTAAAAATATATGAATTATCTTCAATTATTGTTAATAAACATACCTGTCTAATTGTGATATGTATGCTACTGTAAGAAATAATACATATATATATTATTATGTATATATGTTAATTCCTTAAGCATTTACTAAGCTAAATAAAACAAACTTTGTACGTGTTGTACATAAAGATATAAATCCTATTCTGTTCTCAATTTAATTAAGAGTAAATACTATATACATATATATTAAAATAAGTAATATATTTAAAATAATCGAATTATTATGTTAAATAATAAAAATTTATGAACATTATCAATCATTAAATTTAATGTTTATAACTATTATAAGTAACACATGATTTATTTAATAAAACAAGAAATCATTTTAAACTAATTTTAGTTATATATTACTTAAATATAATTTTCCTTTAACGTTACAATTTATTATTGAGAAGGTGTTAATGAAATAGAAATCTCTACTTGGTAGTAATTGCATTGATAAGAATGAATTACTCGATTTCTTTTTTTATATATAAACATAAGGTTAAATACGAAAGGAAACAAGTAAAATAACACTATATAAAATTCGAAATTTCAATGATTGGTGAAAATAATACACTTTATAATATATATAATTCTGTCAGAATAAATTCGTATTAGAAAATAAAATATACAGAAAAATATAGCTTCATAAATAATCAAAACTATATATATTTTTTCTCTATTTATGAAATCGTTTTTCATTGTTCGCAGATAAAACTATTACTTTTTCTGTACAAATTTGTCATCTCGAACAGGAAAAAAAACAAGAAGAAATATATATTTTTTAGAGCAATAACCTCAAACACCATCCAAAAAGATGCATTTAGTTCAAGAACAAAACACTTTACAGTCGTCACTTTTAAGAAGACAAACTATTCGTCTTATCTAGTTCAAAAGCGAAGGGTTTTACCGATTTTATTTTCTCAAAAAAGTAAAAAAAATCTTGAAAAAAAATACATAAATAATTTTATTCTACAGAAATTCTCTTGTAGAAATACAAATGTAAGCAAGTCGTCTAATCCTTTCTATGATGTAGTCATATCAAAATTGAATTTGCATTAAAAAAAAAAAACATATATATTATATATTTATGTACACGCGTATGTAAACATAATTAAGTTTCTCTTTCATATTTTTAACTTCAGAATGGAAAATATGACGTAGAATATATTTACATAAAGCTGGCAATTCCAAGAAAACAATAATACTTAACACAGATTGACTGTAGTTATTTTAAAGTAGGCTGTGACCATTTGTCAGCGTGCACTGTCATCATCAGAGGAACTATACAGTCATACAGTTGAAACTAAATCTTCACAACTCAGCCTGGGGTGAGGTCTATCTTACAACAAAACGGAGGCGTATAGGACAGGGGTAAGCATAAGGGGGGAATTTGTTTTTCTTCCTCTTCCTCAACTCGTACGTGCTGTTCTCGCATTCTGAAAGATGCGTTTATATTTAGAAAATGCCACTAGGAATCTGGTTCTATCTTTGTAAACGAAACTAATAAAATGGATGATAAATTCATTTTTTTAAAGACTTTGTCTTCCTTAATTCATATATTCCTTTTTTTTGTTCTTTTAATTTTATAAAACCACTCATTGTTTGTGGGTTTTATTGGCTTAACTAAAAAAAAGTCTTTTTTACATTTAAATAAATTTAATATTTATTAAATTTTTTGAAATTACTTTCTAAATTTAAGATTATATTCATTGATAGATTCAACCTGTTTTCATAAGATAAAGAAAAAAGAAAAATTGACTAGTGTCTTCTTATACGTGGCACCTCTCAAAACAACAATAAATGAAGAGGTCTTGTGCTCTTCTAGTATCACAACCTCTTCTCTCATGGGCAAAACCAACTACTCAAATGTTATTCTACCATAAAATAAGATTGTGTCAATGTTATTTAAAAAAAAAAACAGATTAGATTATAAGTTTTCTTGTGTTTTCTTAAAACTAGTTATACAGAAAATTTTCAACAAAATCAAAAATCTTAAAAAATGTATAATTTTAAAAGTTAAATTAATTTATTATAATTTATTAATAATTTTATTTTTTTTAAATTGTCTTTTGTATTTTTATTAAAGTAGTAGAAGATAAAAACAACAAAATGTAAGAAAACTTTTTACATTATTACGAAAAATATTAACGATTTTAATTAAAGTTATTGCAATTTTTCAATTTTATATAAATAATCCTTCACATTTTACATTAACCAAAATCAAATTTCCATATATTTTAAGCTCAAAAATGTCACGTTATTATGTTGAACCTTTCGACTAGTTTTAGTTTGTAAAAATTAATTTTTATTGTTGTTTTTTTTTCTGTTTAATCTGAACTTTTAACGTTTCTAAATAATATTTTATGCATTGTAACACATTAATTGTTAAAACTCAAGAGTTCCCTACGATTAATAAAAGATTTTATCACTTTTTTTTTTAACTCTCTGAGAACGGAACACCCTTTATAACATGCAACTCTATTGTTCTACTTCGTACATATTTTTCGGAACTCATTAGTCCGAAAATCGAGAATTGTATATTTTTATTTTCATTATACACACGTACAGTACAGTACATACATATATACAAAACCTTTATACAAATTATTATTTCTTAGAAATATATTTGAAAAAATTAGAAAAAACAACTGAATATATTTTTATACGTAAAATGAAAATTTCCTTCGATGAAAAAATGAAAATAAACTTAACAGTAGGAAATAACGACTCTATAATTAAATTCCACAACAACACAGAACTTTTTTCAGTATTAAAATAAAGATTTCTGTACTATTTTTATACAAAAATATTCATTTTAATTTTTATAAAAATGCTAATTTTCACGTCCTTTTCTTACAATAACCATATTTTTATTTATAAAAATGTATTCATTTTCACTTTTTTTTTTTTCAAACAAAATTATATTCATTTCTATACGTGTTAAGGGGATACATTTTTATATTTCCAAGAAATTTTTATTTACATTTTCATTTTTTTTCATACATTTTTATTTACTTGGAAAAAAAAATTATAAAATATATTCATTTTCAAGTCATTAAGTAAGCAATAATAATAATAATAATAAAGGAAAAAAATTATAAGTATTTTGTCTCTGAATTTACTCATTTCTGATCTAAATGAATGAATCTTTTTAATAAAATAGTGAAATGAAGCTAGAAAACATTTAATTTTCTTATTAATTCATCAAAATAGTTGACTTGAACTGTTTAAATTTACTAATCTGGTTGTCAGTGAAGGAAAAGGAATATTTCAAAAGGACTTACTCCAGCACAAAAGAATTGGATAGAAGTACAAATATTGATTCTTTACCATATAGCGAATGAAATGCATTGTTTTCACGGTTCAACATAAAACCTCGATCAATATAGAAAGTATAATTTGAGATGGGAAAATTTCATTCGTCTTTTTGTACTTTTGAATGTTTTCTTCATCTTCTTCTTCTTCTTCCTCCTCCTCCTCCCCCTCATCCTTATGTCTATATATATAGAATATGTATATATTCCCTCTTCATCATTTTAATTTTATATAAATTTCGAAACTTTTTCATTAATAAATAATCGTTTATCTTGCCATTCTATAAAAAATAAATTGAGTGAGAATTCTTATTATATTTCGAAGATCGAAGGACATAAAAAATAATTCTCTTCTTCTCGGTTTCAGATATATTTTAAATATTTTTGATACAATAAAACTTGTTTAAAATGGAACCTGATTAAGACGATAAGCTGCCTACAAAGGGGAAAAAATTCCGTATCCTACGCTTCCGGCTTACACGGGTGTTTTTTATTTATTTTTTAATGTCAGTGATATTTTTTAAAGAAAAAAAAACATTATTTTTTGCTAGATTTATTACGAAAAATTTTTAACAGTAAACTAAATTTCTTCACTAAAAGATATATTTTTCGGGTAAAATTACAGTTAAAAAATTGCATTGCATATAGGAAAGNATAATAGATTTGTATGTTAATGAAGAGCTATGTAAATGGTAATGTATTTAAAAAAATAAAAATTAAAAAAAAAAGGAAAGTGCTTGATGGTCTAGGTAAATTTTCTGCATTTTGCTATTAAAGTAGAAGTTTTTAAATATTTTTCAACATAAAATACTCGTTGCAATACTCATTAGTAGGGGAAAAAAAGGGAAATTCGCTATCGAAACACATTTATTACATTACTGTTCGAAAATAAAAAAAAGGGAAATAAATAGGACGTTTGGTTACAAACTAAGTTCCAAAAGTAATTCATTACTAGGAAAAGAACATCCTGCTAAACTCAATAAGCGAACAAACAAATCTGAAAACAAACTAAAAGAGTTAATTACGTTCTTTTTTCTCTCCCCCTTTCTTTCTTTTTATTATATATATTTTTAATAATTAATCTTGAAACGATAAAGGTTATTGAAACATGATTTTCCCAAATGACCTATTTTAACAAAATTAATTACAGGTTTTCTTCAACGAAAATTTCTCTCTAAAACTCATTCTGTTCGATAGCTCCTGCGAGACAAGCAAACTAAAACTGAATTAGCTGCCATTAACTTTATTAATCTCTGATGTGGACCTACTTACAACATATTGTATTCTTATTGTTCTTACTACTAATGATGGGGATATTTTCATACTTAAAATTCAACGCTGTTTTGAATAGAGAAATCCATTTTTCTCAAGATTTTGTTCACGTATCAGAGTACAGAACTTTTAGTCGTTTCGGTGAGAAAACTGGCAGCTTGCCTCCTAAAATTCTATATATATATATATGTATGTATTATACATACATATATACATTTTCAAAATATAAATTAAAATATAAATAAAATATATTGTAATATATAGAATATATTATTGCAAGTTTCAAATAGAATGGAATTAAATTCACTGGACATAATAAATTTTAACATAAAAATTTTTTTTATAAAATCATTTAGAAAGTTCGACATTTTGAAAATTATTTATTAATTTACTTCATACTGTAATATTAAAATCCATTTAAAGTTTTAATTTATGGGGTGGCCCATAACTCGGTTAACCAGCGTGTTGAGATAATCGACGTTTGTAATAACCGAAATTTCGTAGCAATTTATCAACAATTTACATGTTCAATAAACAATTTACAGCATTCTAATACTGTAAATTGTTTATTGAACATGAAGAATTTTAACTGACTTTTGAACCATCCTATTCTGTAAACAAACTAGTCTCCATTTTAAATCTTTGTTTGCATGTAAATAATTGCAAAAAAAAAATTAATTTTTCTTTAATTTAAAATACAGAAAAGTATAATAAAATAAAATTTATAATCTGTCTTCTAAAGATAATATTTATATATTTATCTAAGCATTAATGTGACAAATATTAAAATCTTACTAAATATCGAAGAAATTTTTTAAAATTTGATTAATTATAAAAATATTTAAACAAAGATAAATATA